ATCACATGAACATAAAAATTTATCGGTAATCATAAAAGTCATTTTTAATTCGACAGTTTTCGAAATATAATCTGGACCTGCGTTAATTAGTCTTGATGTATATAATTTTACACTACCGAAAGTGGCGAGTAGTGGTGCCTCGGGCAACAAAAATTTACCCGTATGTGGGTATATAGGTGACAGGTCCGGGTCCGTACCGGCTTGGTTTACCTGTATATGGGTATATAGGTGACAGGTCCGGATCCGTACCGGCTGGGTTTACCTCTATACGGGTATATAGGTGACAGGTCCGGGTCCGTACAGGCTGGGTTTACCGGTATACGGGTATATACGTGACAGGTTCGGGTCCGCACCGGCTGGGTTTACCTGTATACGGGTATATACGTGACAGGTCCGGTTCCGTACAGGCTGGGTTTACTGTATACGGGTATATACGTGACAGGTCCGGATCCGTACCGGCTGGGTTTACCTGTATACGGGTATATACGTGACAGGTCCAGATCCGTACCGGCTGGGTTTACCTGTATACGGGTATATACGTGACAGGTCCGGGTCCGTACCGTCTGGGTTTACCTGTATACGGGTATATACGTGAAAGGTCCGGGTCCGTACAGGCTGGGTTTACCTGTATACGGGTACATTGGTGACAGGTTCGGGTCCGTACCGGCTGGGTTTACCTGTATACGGATATATACGTGACAGGTCCGGGTCCGTACCGGTTGGGTTTACTGTATACGGGTATATACGTGACCGGTCCGGATCCGTACCGGCTGGGTTTACCTATATACGGGTATATACGTGACAGGTCCGGATCCGTACCGGCTTGGTTTACCTGTATACGGGTATATAGGTGACAGGTCCGGATCTGTACCGGCTGGGTTTACCTGTATACGGGTACATTGGTGACAGGTTCGGGTCCGTACCGGCTGGGTTTACCTATATACGGGTATATACGTGACAGGTCCGGATCCGTACCGGCTGGGTTTACCTGTATATGGGTATATACGTGACAGGTCCGGTTCCGTACAGGCTGGGTTTACTGTATACGGGTATATACGTGACAGGTCCGGTTCCGTACAGGCTGGGTTTACTGTATACGGGTATATACGTGACAGGTCCGGATCCGTACCGGCTGGGTTTACCTGTATACGGGTATATAGGTGACAGGTCCGGATCTGTACCGGCTGGGTTTACCTGTATACGGGTACATTGGTGACAGGTTCGGGTCCGTACCGGCTGGGTTTACCTATATACGGGTATATACGTGACAGGTCCGGATCCGTACCGGCTGGGTTTACCTGTATATGGGTATATACGTGACAGGTCCGGTTCCGTACAGGCTGGGTTTACTGTATACGGGTATATACGTGACAGGTCCGGATCCGTACCGGCTGGGTTTACCTGTATACGGGTATATACGTGACAGGTCCGGGTCCGTACCGTCTGGGTTTACCTGTATACGGGTATATACGTGACAGGTCCGGGTCCGTACAGGCTGGGTTTACCTGTTTACGGGAATATACGTGACAGGTCCGGGTCCGTACCGGCTTGGTTTACCTGTATACGGGCATATACGTGACAGGTTCGGGTCCGTACCGGCTGGGTTTACCTGTATACGGGTATATACGTGACAGGTCCGGGTCCGTACCGGCTGGGTTTACCTGTATACGGGTATATACGTGACAGGTCCGGGTCCGTACCGGCTGGGTTTACCTCTATACGGGAATATACGTGACAGGTCCGGGTCCGTACCGGCTGGGTTTACCTGTATACGGGTATATACGTGACAGGTTCGGGTCCGTACCGGCTGGGTTTACCTGTTTACGGGTATATACGTGACAGGTCCGGGTCCGTACCGGCTGGGTTTACCTGTTTACGGGTATATACGTGACAGGTCCGGGTCCGTACCGGTTGGGTTAACCTCTATACGGGTATATAGGTGACAGGTTCGGGTCCGTACCGGCTGGGTTTACCTCTATACGGGTATATACGTGACTGGTCCGTGTCCGTACCGGCTGGGTTTACCTGTATACGGGTATATAGGTGACAGGTCCGGGTCCGTACCGGCTGGGTTTACCTGTATACGGGTATATAGGTGACAGGTCCGGGTCCGTACCGGCTGTATACGGGTATATAGGTGACAGGTCCGGATCCATACCGGCTTGGTCGCCTGTATACGGGTATATAGGTGACAGGTCCGGGTCCGTGCCGGCTTGGTCGCCTGTATACGGGTATATAGGTGACGGGTCCGGGTCCGTACCGGCTTGGTCGCCTGTATACGGGTATATAGGTGACAGGTCCGGGTCCGTACCGGCTTGGTCGCCTGTATACGGGTATATAGGTGACAGGTCCGGGTCCGTGCCGGCTTGGTCGCCTGTATACGGGTGTTTTTGACTCAAATAAGTTAAGGAATCGATTCTTATTCCATTCTTCACTTTCTTTGTCTTGTTTTTGTATTCCACTTATACATGGTACTTTGTATGACAAGGTACTTTGTATGTGTACACAGGTTGTACTGATGAATTGAATTAAATATTATTAAATGCCTATACTTTTTGGTAGTAAAGATATAACGGATATTTATCAGCTTCTAGTGGACAGTCTAATAGGCTTTTGGCGTAGTCAGAGAATTAGTCGGATACTTGAGATCATGGCGGCTTTGTATTTGCCACTAGAACCGTATTAGCCAATCAGCGTCGAGCAATAACGTGATAGTGTAGTCCTCGAAATTCCTTCATGGAATTTTGCAGAATAACAAATGTAGATAAAGGTAAATATTATGTTTCTATGGTCTCCACTTTCCTTTACAAGCAATAGCCTTGGAGCACGTTAACATACATTAAACGAGTCTTGTTGTAGACTTCAATGATGTAAGCATTCAATTTTAAATGTTATACGTAACAAAACACCAAATTTTGACCATTTCTGTCGTGTCAATGTCGTTCATTGATTACCGCTGCTGATGGAAATTCAGTCCCTCTGACTTTCCGTAACTTGCATGCCATGTTTTGTTTGTTTAGTTTTTGTTTTTACTTTATTCAAATGATGTCATGGTTTACAATTGTACTTGACGCTGTTCTAAAATTTGGTATTTTATTATGGGTATGCCTCATCTCCTCTTCTTGAGTTGGACTTTCCATTTCATTACTTTGGTTTTCCTCAGTCGCCACTTAGGCTGACCGTCCGTACGTTAATTTATTTCTTTATTTATCTTCATTTATGGTTTTTGTTACCTGTTGAATAGTGTCCGTGTCTGTCCATATTTGGAGGTATCTTATCTACAATTCCAGAGGTGTGACAGATGAGAATGTCATGAAAACGTGAGAGTGTATTTTGATAAAACTCTTGTACATTTGCTGGACATCGCAAACGGCCGAGATAAGACACCCAGGACACATCCTCACGAGTCCAGTTGTAGACGATAGATATGACACTATAGTACTCTACACAACTATTAAATTGGTGAAGGTAGTGACGTTATGTAATGCCTTGAATATTACAGTCAATATGTTCCGGGTAACGCGTATCTATTTCATTATTCATAACATTTATATCATTTCCGAGGAAAATGTAACTAAGGCCGTATTTTTGTATACTTCAGCGGTTTTTTTATGTTCCGTCTTATAAATTTGGCGTTGTCAAACAACTCAGCATATTAAAGACCTCTACAGAATATAGTTTATTCTTCAAATGCTGTGATATCCATTTAGCTTGGATATTTTGCGTTAAGCTCGATTCCCTTATAAATACTTTCAAACACCATAATGGTTAACAGACAAAATATTAGTAGATATTTCAGTATTTGTTCAATAGCTATACAACATATTACCAATAACTGCTTTAGATTTTAATATAAGAATTAGCTTGTTTGATATTAAAAATGTCACGTTCTGAGGTGTAGTCAAATACTGATATCGATAATGAGGTAAAACAACCTTATCAATCCTCTGATATATCTAATGTTAATTCAAAGAATATAAAGAGGAGCGGAGTACTATGTACCGGCGAATTGTCGTCTCAGTTTAATTTTCGCCATTTTCTTCCATGAGCATGAAGGGCGGACTTAAGGTGGGAAAGAAAATTTGTTACACTTATATGATTTTTTTATGTATCTGCACACTACGACAAGAAACGACACAACAATGAATATGAATAAAAAAGGTCAACCTTACAGAGAGGGTGACTTTGTATTTATTTATGAAATTAAAAACATATCTTACAGTTACATAAACCATAAAATGAACAAAAGATTATTTTTCAGTAGTTATAATAAAAAGCCAATGAGGGGTTAACAAAAAAAAAAAAAAAAAAAACGCCACAAAGACGTGATAAAATATCTTCCCAAAAAGTCGAAAGAAAATTTGTTGCACTTATATAACTTTTTTATGAAATTATCAGCGGGAGAAATGAACATGAAGCAATCTTGTGTTATAATAGTACATGGGCAAAAATAATAAGGGGCGAAGATATCGCGGTATACCGTAACTAAATAACGAATTGATAAGGCAAGATACAACGTAAATATGTAGCTTTTATGTCTCTCCCCCCCACCTCTCCAAAAATGTTATGTAAAACAATTACGTCGAGAAAATATCAAAGGTTGAACCTATCAACCATGTTAACATGATTTTATAAAATGATCACGTAAATACCAGTACTATTTTGACATAGATAATAAAACAAAACACATGAATCAAGGCAAAAATTACAGTTGGAGTTTTTATGGGAACAAGTATATAACGATGAGCAAGAGAATCATAGTTCCCCTTTAAGTGTAATCGTTCTGTTCTTTCACAAGCGATAGAGCGTATGCTGAATCGTGATATAACCTTTGTCATGAAGTTATTCAAAACTGTAATTCCTCGTAATGTTCTTAGACTTTCAATATGATATATCCTTGGTGTATATAAAATCCACACATCAAACATGTATATCTTGAATAATATCGTGGTATCCATTGGTGTTTTACGTCACAAGATTTCCCACTAACAAATGTCCTGTTAGTCGTTCCTAGCCTTAATTCTCCAGCTGGGGTGGATCTGATGTTTCCGTAACACTGGTGTCGTCACTTTTCGCCATCTCTGAAACAAACATAAATAGATAGTTTTTCTTGTTGCAGTTTACACCCTGGTATCGCTTATATATTCCATAAACCAGTACAAGCAATAAGTTCTGCTTTGACAATTTGAGATAACGATTTATCATCACATGTGTATATAACAACTCCTTTGTTCTCCTTACCGTTTAAATTCAATTATCATTAAAACACTTCCTTTAAAACTCTGGTATCGAGTTGTCTCTGATAACTTTGCATTTTCATCTATATCTTTTTAAACCACGAATTTTCTCAGACAAATAACAATATCTCCAATGAAAAATGTAAATGTTGATGAAATATGAAATTGAGATAACATTTTGAAACAACTTATAGTATTCGAGCATAAAAATATCAGCGTCTCGTCAAATGGAATGCTCATTGTGGTTATTGCAATAAAGGTATGAAAAGTCGGATTGATGACGACCTAATAACGATAAATATTCCAGGACAATATCAATAACATCAGAGGTCGTACAGCATAATACACACGAATAGAACAAATACTAATGTATATGCGATTCTTTATGTCCTGCGTCAAACATGTATCTCCAGAAGAAATTTATTTGAACCGTAATATGTAGGCCCTCTTTTTCACAATGAGGTTCAGTAGGATTCATTACGGGCAACAAGATGACACCCATGCCCATCGTCTCAAATCGGAAACAGCATGTCTTATGGAATATGTGTGTCCTATACATTATCCACTATACCTTCACAAGTGTGCCTTCCGTGGTTGCCAGTTTGAAGATAGCATAAATAGGAATACACACCATGGACGATAGTGCCAACAGGATACCGAAACCCTGAGCCCAGGTGGGGTACTCGTATGTCTTGTTGTACTTAAGTGGCCGGAACATGATCAACTTAGATAACAAAAGACTCTGTAATAAATGTATAATGTTAAAACATCTGGTAAGAATTTAAATTTAATATGCATATTTTAGCCTAGAAACCGGTTTTGTCTCTAACAGTTTCATATATCCGTACTAGCATTAGTCACACACCATGCGGTGTTGAACATCACCAGTAAAATCAAAATATAGCAACTCAGGACATTTCAAAGGAGGCAATACTATTATGTTCATCGATATGGGCTTTCTTCATAGAGTGAAATTCAGTTTCTCGACAACTACAATAAGTTTATTGCGCTTAATTACCATACACAATAGAGGTGTTGTGTACTTCCAACAGAATTGTAGATATGGGTTGATCCTTGAACCTATCATCATCTCAATGGCATCATAGAACCGGTCAGCACCTTCAGAAAAGATTATTGAATGTGAATTATTGTGAATTAGCCACTCTCAAAAGTCACAAAACTCACCTTGATTTTGATTTTGGAATTGTTTTCGATATTTAACCAAAATATTTCACTTTATGAGGAAGCTTTGTAAGCATCGAAAAGAACATTATTCACTTGTCTGTCGCTTTCTTCCTTATAAATTTATTTAAATGTATTACTTTCTTTTTGCCATGTTATGAGATCATCCAAAAGAAGAAACAACTGAATGCTTGAAAAAGACAACCTTCACAGAACATATCTGACATTAGTCGGATGGAGTGCAGGAAATATGTATCGCGATTGGCTCTTGTATGAACTTCAGTACTCACTTTTGAGAGCTGTCATTATTTGACCTTTCCTAGAATCATATGTTGGATGGCATGTCTAATCAAAAGCTGACATCCCTTCCGTTTCATATTTGGTCTGATCTTTTCCCTTTTCCAAAATGTTTTAGGTTGAATCTCTTTGCTTATACATATGTATTGAATATCTCGGTTTCTTGTAATTACAACTAACTACACATCAAAACACAACAACAGGTTTGATATATATTATCCAGTCAGGTGGTGTGCCTGATAAGAATAGATGAAATTGCCAATGACAGGTTTTGTGACTGACTTGATGAGCAATGTATCAGCAACCATGACTTGTAAATCTCTAGAGCGATGAATTTAAAGCAGAATATCACATTTACCAAACACCCAAGCAATGGCCACCACCTCCCAGAACACTGACCACAGAAGGACCATTCCACTGGCGGAGTAGTAGTCGAACAGCTGGAATACATACATTCCTCCCTAAACAGAAAAAGTGCTTTAATTAGTATATCGCATCCATATTGGTTAAAAGCAATGCCACATTTGGTAAACATTTCAGGTTCACATGCTATTTTATGGATATTTATGGAAGAAAACATACCCTTGATACCATTGAAAGTCCCACTAGAAACGACATGAGACAGTAGACAGCTACTATAAACACCCGTCGATTTCCTTTTCGTGAAAAGTTTGGAAATATATCCATGAATGCGGTAACAACAGATTCCACTCCTACAAACTTTGGAAAACAAAACAAAACGAAATAAAATGCATACAACAGCATAAGCATGAGATTAGTCTTTGAAAATCATATATTGGATGGAAACTGGCACATTCATAAATTGGCTACTCACTCGTTCTGTTGAAAAAAAAAGTATTCTAAAATACTTGACATCGTTAACTGGAGTCCTCAGTGCTTGTTTTTTTATTTTAATGAAGCTCAAAGGAAAGGTACTTTCTCGGTCTTTTTGTATCCTGCTTGATAGTATTATCGATGGCAACTTTTACTCAATTCATTAAGGTCTTCATAGTTTGACATATATCGTGAGAATGTCATTTACAATACTGCAACAATCATCGGATTTATAACCTCATTCTGAGGGCTCTCTGTCAGTTAACATATGTTGGTATCGTTTAACATCAAGTAATACAAAAATATTTTTGATATACTGCCAAGTCACATTTACCAACATTCATGTTCATTAGACGGAGGACGCCAGAATCTTTCTGCAGTCAAGTGAAAAATCTTATCCTATGGATGTACAATACTATAAACATATGGTGAAATGTGATTGGTGGCCATTAGACCCCCAGCCTATCACCCCTGCGAGGTAATAATATTTATTGAGATTATACTTGATATAGTACAGTTACTATGTTTGGGTAAAAGGTTCTCGCTATACATTAAACACAATTGCTTAAACGCGGACTTACTTGACTATCGAGGCCAAGTAAAAGTAACATCAGAAAGAAAAGGGCAGCCCACAATGGGGAAATCGGCATCTGTGTCACGGCGTTAGGATAAGTAATAAAAGCCAATCCGGGACCTGGAATGGAGATCGAAAAAAAACAATGTAAAATGTAACTCTGTGATCAGGTAATGTTTTTATTAAGGCTTACAAGGACTTTTGACGTTGAAAACGTAATATTTAAATGATAACATCATATTTGAGGTGCACATTTTTTTACGTAATTTGACATGAATATGTTTTTATCTTTTGGACATTTTTTCATATATTGCGCTAATGTAGCGAATCAATTCAATTATGCTATTAGAACAACTTAAACTTAATTTAAAAAATAAATGGAGGCATCACCAGCGTTAGCCACTTCTGATATAGGAATATTGTGATGTTTGGACATAAATCCTAGTACGGAAAAGACGGCGAAACCCCCGATCAAACTTGTTCCACTGTTAATACAAGCCACAAAGATGGCGTCCCTGTCAGAAAAAATGAAGTTATAATAGGGCGTGGTATCTCTGATTATACTTTCGAGCTGAAAACAAAAATCTTCGGTTATCGTTTTTGTTTTTTTAACATTGCAAGATTGCATCAAGTACTGTATAGCCGGATATTTCGGCAAGGATACAATTTTCACAAACAGTCATTATAGAAATCATGACAAGTGGAATAAGAACTAGCAATAAAATAACGAACATTTGCTAGCGAGACAAACATTGTAGTACGCCAAGTGTTAGTGATCAATCAAATTACACGTCCACTGGTTAGATAGCTCACAAATGTCCCTATAAAAAATAACACTAAGTAATAACCCGAACTCAAATTCAGTCAGCTAAAGTACCAATATTCAAGGTCATAAGACGGAGGACGCCAGAATCTTTCTGGAGTCAAGAGAAAATTACTAGTCATGATAATACTGTCCAATTAAAAGCAATTTCATTCTTTTCTTTTTACTATCAGTAGACGAAATGTTAAAGCCATCTTAATCAATACATGTTTTAAAAGTTACCGAACAGCATAAAAAAACCTATGCCTTCTCTATGGAAATTGGTATTCACAGTTGTCACCTGGTGGTAACGTTATTTTGCATACCGAAATTACCAGACAAGATATGAGTTCCAACAGTAAATATCACTCGCAAATTGTTACAGTATATGCTGTATCAGTTATACAGATGCTTGCCCTGAAATTATGATTTGTAATTAGACGCTTGTTCCATTGATACGTCAAATTCGAAGATGTCAACATCGATAAAGCGTCTTCTGTATTCATTCAGAGCGTATGTATGATTCTAATCTGTTAAAATATTTTACCTGTAGAAATTGGTTGTAAATTTGTTGTAACTCCCCAGAGTTATAATTTGATTGAGGGCAATGGCGTATGTGAAAAATACCTGTGTTCCTCCGTCCAGCCAAACCTGTAAAACAAGTGATACGATACACGTATATATGTCTAACGTTGATCGCTTGTGAACAAAGGTACTCGTAGTATACACATTTTCTATGTTACTGATGACATAAGTAAATTTCATTCCGTAGTGTTAGGATTTTGAAGATTGTTCAAATTGTACACATCTACAAATAAAAACCAAACAATGAATCAAATTAAAGCCGGAAAAAGAAAATGACAGAAGAAATTATACAAATTTAGATACTGAAATGATTTAGCCCAGTAATTAATAAGTTTTGTAATTTTCATGCATCTTATTATTTCAGAACATAAATTAAGTGTAATTTTCTAATGTACAATGAATATCATAATGCTCTTATTGGGATAGCAGCTGGAAATATATTTTCAAATCACGCGACAACAATATTTATGGCATGTATTCATTATATTGATAACTGGAAAGTCTTTTCATATAAAGATATAGATATCATAATGTTTTGTATAATGTAGTAATATTAAGATTCTCCGAATATCTTTAAAACACAGTTTTAATTCCGATAAATAAATTTTCGCTATGATAGATATATCCTGAAATTCTATTATGGTTTGGTCTCGAACCTACCTGTATATCGGCAAGTCTTGACAGATCCGGTTTAATGTAGTACACTACACCTTCTCTGGCGCCATCTAGCGTCAGTCCTCGAACCAGTAGTATACTTAGTATGACGTATGGAAATATGGCAGTGAAATATACGACCTAAACAACAGAAGTCAATAAAACTTTCACCGTTTACGTCAAGCCAAACTTTTTTTCATTTAAAATGATAAGGTGTGTTCTTCTATCGAGCTTTAGCTACCTTTAACTTCTAAACAAATTTTAAGGTAACAACTAATCAATCATCAATTTGCAGTGTTAACCTTTTGCTCTTTTTATTAGTATGCCATTTTATCAACAATCAAATTCTTGGAAAACTGTATTTACTACAAAGTACAGAAAAAAGGCTTTGCTTCTGAATATATCACCATGTATACATTTATGCTATCTATTACACTGTTTAATAATGTTAATATTATAACTAAATATGACATCAATGTTAAGTATAGTTAAATGAAGCATAATCGAAATTACAATGTAGTCGTGCCAAATTAGTACTAAATGTTTCATACAAGAACTAATTACACCCGGAAGCCAAATATAACACGATATTTTACAAAAAGAGCTCGAAAGAATGGTAAATACGTATTCTACTTATAGTTTGAACAGTTTGCTGAAATGCATTAAGCCAGAATAGAATCAATATTAAAAAACACACACAACAGAAAAAACATTTATAGAAACTATTAAGAGTTCAGAGGTCTAAAATGGATCGAATTGATATCGTATACTATAGAAACATTTCATGAAAAACAGAACAAATTCCATTTAAGACAATTGGAAAAGTTTGCTGAAATGCATTCAAGGTGATATACTATCATCAGATAAAATCAACAGTTGAAAAAATATCTCCTACATATTTATAGAACCGTTCAATAATTCAATAGGACTAGTTCTCGTTATGATAATTTCAAAAGCTGTATACTGATTTCATTTAAATAAACTCAATATTTGAAAAAAAAATCTCATACATGAATATCGAAATATTTTGTGATTTAAAGGACCAGACAAACCAACACGAGTATGTACGGTTTGTTTATGACATTCTAATCTAACATTTGGACTTACCTTACCAGTCCATTTAACCCCTCTCCAGACACAGAAATATACAATGATCCAAACCAAAAGTAGAGACAAAGCTAGCTGCCAAATAATACCACCACCTTCTGTGATGTCTGTGGACAACTGTAACACTCCTCGTCTGTAAACAATTATCATAATATCACTTACTAATAAAGCGTTCGATCTTATCACAATTTACATTTGTCGGTACAAAATATAGATGAAACGCTTGTGAAAAAGACAAAACGGATTAACATCTTTCAATAAGAAATCTAATCAAATAAAGTTGATGAATTAGACTGCGTTATACAGCTGCTCCATCCGTTTAGACCTCGTAAGCAAAACTTTATCCTAAATACTTAAAATCTACACCATTGTGATATATATTACATTGTAACTATAAATGGATATTGTATATGACTTAGTCAGCCAATGGTGATGTCCTTTACATAACAAACCGTAATGATAATTGTTTACGACTTAAATAATTGTCATACTCCCAGAACTCCACAGCAGGATCGACACCAGTACCATTAGATTTCAACAGCGACATATTGGTTAAGGCGGTGATGTTGATATCTTCACTGTACGGCATACATCTGTTAATATAATGTACTATGAAGAGATTGTTTTTTTCAAATCCTTTGATCAATGATGAAATATTGTTCATTTTATTTTACAAAGCTTACTCGAGAAAAAATAAAGAGACAAAAAAAAAAAAAAAAAAAGAGCAAAACCTGATATTTTGCATGTTACTTCAAATAAATAGATGTTGATTTAATATATAAGATATAACCTATTTTTGTCTTACACTCAGAAAATAATTACCTGTGGGTGTTCCATTCATTATTGCAGTCAGACCAGGGCAGAACTGCTTGTAAACTCAACACAAAATAGTAGGCAGCCCATGCCATTATCAAGATGTAGTAGATGTTCGCAAGCGAGCTCGTGATGATATTAGATATTCCAATACCTGCAATTTAAACCAATTATTTGTAAGAAATAGTAGAAACAGGAAAATTTCATAAAAAAGTTTCCCTTTTTCTTAACTTTTTAGGAATATAACTAGAATTTCTAATATTCTAGAAGGAAGAATCAGCTGTAGGATGAGGTTTAACTTTAATAGATGAGTACCTATTAAACTATTTTTCAAAGATGTTCTATATTACACTCAGAAATAGAAGTATTAAGAATTAGTCATTTCAATACCTGCGATGTATTTTTTGGCTAAAATGTACCTTTTTCTAAATCTGGACTTAAGGTGTTATTAATCCTTAAAACGGAATAGGCGAAAAATGCACAGAAGCTTAAGTTTCAAATACCTTGGAATACGGGACAAAGTTTCCAGGTTTTATAACCTGAGAGACTCATGTACTGGCCAAGTCCCATCTCAAGCATAAAGACCGGCACACCACCCAGCACGATAAACGTTATAAACGGTATAAGAAAGGCACCTTGAATACAAAGAAACGATTAAAGAAAATTAAAGAAATGATAAAACATAATCTACGCGTCCGTCTGAAAATGAAATTAGATGTTTTCGTAACAAAATAGTAAAAGCGACTAAATGACTCATAACTGATTAAAACATTATGATATTTAAGCATCTGTCAAAAGTTTCTGTCGATTATAATATTTGCATAAGTATTTTTTAAAATAAACGTCAAAACATTGTTATAATATAAAAGCGAATTAACACTGATTTAGAAGTCGTCAAGCAGCGGATTAAAACGAAATTCCCAAAGTTCACGTGATAAACTTAAAAATATCCGCTAGAAGCAGCGAATAGCGTTAACATAACAGCGAGAGTCAACCAATGTCGTTTTTCCTCAAAAAAGGCAATAATTTTGCGAATAGTGTAATCTTATGTGTTACGAAATCGCACGCATTGAAAAAATAGCGAAATCTAAGCATTTAGACCCTTCAAGATGTTTTACATTGATGATGACATGTTAGAGTAAATACTTTAAAAATGTGCTTTGGCTTAATATTAACGGGATGTTTCAAGATTAATCATAAATTTTACTTACCCCCTCCATTTTTGTAGCAAAGATATGGAAACCGCCATAGATTACCAAGACCCACTGACATTCCCACACAGGCGAGGATGAAGTCCATATTGTTTGACCATACTTCTCTGGAGTTGTTGTCCTTTTCATTTCCCTCCTCTTCAAACGTCTCAGGAATTGTTACCTCTATGTCATCTACACAATGTGTAAAACGTAGGCAAATTTTAAAACAAGAAAACCATAAAGTCTGGCAGAGAGATTGAAGACCAACATTTTCCCAAAAGTGCTTTTCTACATGAACGTGTCTGTTGGTAGTATTTTGTACAGCCTATGCACATTAGTTTAGAAGTCAGGTTAAAGTATTAGGATACAACTTTATTTTGTTTTGATTTTGTTTATTTCCAGGTAGTTTCTTTTAGATATTTGTTTTGCTTTATACATGTTCTTACTTAGTTCTATAAAGTGGGTCTGTTTTGTCGAGTAAGGCTTCTCCATTCTCCATTTTTATTCTAGTACAGTGGTTTTGCATGTATATGCAGTTTTATGTGTAAACTTTAGCTCTTCTGTATCTAACTCTTAGTTTGTATTGAAATACGCTCGTCAATTGTGATTTGTGTACAATTTTCTATGTGCTTGGAAATATTCTAGTTTAATTAAGTCTAACATCTCGCTAATTTCCTTTCGAAATATTAATAATGTTGTAAATTTCACTTGACATTTGTCAAACCACTCAAATCCATCTAACTGTAAAATACATGGCGCTGTGTTGCTATATATATGAAGATCATTTTTGTTAGTTAAGACCGCTACATTCAACAGTGAGCAAACCGTACACTCAGTTGAAATTTTACAATTATGGGAGAAAAGGATTGTTTTGACGAAATAGAAACTGTTTAAATTGATTCATAACACACAATTGATACTTTCTTCTTTATCTATGATGATATTTCAATGCTGTTTTCAAGAAAAAAATGTATTTTATATTTATGATTTTACATGTTTTTAATGAAAACATTTTTAATGAAATTCCTCAGAAAGATTTCTAGTGTCATGATTCAACCTTTTGTTGCCTTTCATGTCATAGTTCAGCTCTTCATAACAGGGCGCTATCAATAAAGTCTTAGTCAATATAATTATGTTTTATCGGCGACCAACTAGGCGCACTTTTTATATGAGCCGATGGTAAGCCGATACTATTTCTAAGGCGTTTAATCATAGAGATGCGTGAGGTTCTGTAATTCCTATACTGATTCCGTAGCGGCCTCTGGAATGAACAATTGAAATAGCCTGTCCTGTTGTCAGTTGTTCGAATATCAAAAATAATTTAGTGTTTTTTCTACAACTTATTTTGTCAAACATTAGGTTAAGGTCTTAATCTAAAACCTCTGCAAAAAGCAGATAATTGATACAAAAGATAGTACATATTCAAATGTAGTTCCATCTTTGTAGGACTCGTCAGTAATGCTAAGGGTCTAAGGTTTGAAACCTCTACTTTTAACAAGTATTTACAGATATTGTCAAAAATTATAAATTTGTAAGTGGACAAGAAATCCCTGCTATTAACTTGAGAAATACAATCCTTTTTTCACATAAACTACTCCCTCCTCTTAATCCAGAGACTGTTTATGATATTGTAGAATTTTACACGCACTGTTGAATACGGAACATTTTGAGTGTAGAAATGTACAGATATGGGTTATGTTTTCGTTAAAATATCACGTTATCTAAGAAAAGTATCTTTCCTAAAAAAGGATGAACCGTCTATAATACATTCTTCCCTTTGTATAGTCACATATGCTCACTGTATTACTTATATATATATATATATATATATATATATATATATATGTATATCATCTTTAAAAGTATTGAGATATAATTAAAATTGAAATACAAATATGTACACGCACCCTGTAAGATCGTTTGATTAACTCAATATACATTGACGACAGCTGTTATTTATAATAATGTAACGTAATTACCACATGTGTTGCCGGCACATGTACACGGACCAGTGAACATCTAACACATTACCTGTATCATCACACTCATCAAATATATAGCCGGACTAAATTGTACGAGTATATCAAGTTATGCTAACCCAGGGAAGGATAGGCCAACAAACATTAATGCAGACGTCGTCTTTTTTCTTCTTCTTTTTCATACATTTTACTGTTGATATTAAGGTGAAGACTTCGAGATTAATATTTTCTTTAAAATTTTAAATAAATAATTCATGCATGATCATTTACCTGCAATATAGCCTTTTAGGTGAAAAGCCAATTGTTATAAACCAGGTAAACACAGGAAGATATGTCTTCCGTCATATTCTGCACGAGTCTCGCGTTCCTTTCTGGAATAGGCCAAATTATGATAATTGAAGGATTGTTCTTTAAGTAATCATGTAAAACGAGATTTTTTTTATTTGAATGTTTCGGTGAATGTGATATATGAGTGTTTATAAACATGAAGTGTATTTCAAAATGGAATATTTGTAGTTATATCAGAATTTGAAAAACAGAGTGGTGGTTTCCTAAACTTAATGCTATACAGATAAAAGACAGTGAAAAATATCGAAGAAAAAAAATATCTGTAGACCTGTACGAAATGGGGTCCATAAACTTATAATAGCAGCAATCAATCCATTCAATTGAGATTAAAATACAAAGGCATACATACACATTTAAAATTTTATTTTTATAGTTGACTGAAATGTGATACCCGTTTTCTAAAATATATTATTGCATAAAGTTATATTTGTCGCGTTTTCTTGAAGCCGAGTACAAAACAGGAGTCATTACCGCCTGACCTCAAGGTTTTAATAGACAAAAAATAAAAAGTATTCGTCATGGCCACCAGAAGGCCCAAAATGGTACTGCTCCTTTGACATTTGACAGCCTGACGTTTTCGGAGAGACATCGCTTGGTCAGCTAAGCATGTTCACAAATAATAATGCAAGTGTGAAATATGTTATAAATCAATGGAGTTTTAGTCTTTCAAATCTAAATGTCATTTGTACTCACTTTTTACTATTGTAACACCTCGGATCAAAAGATTGGTGACATATGTTTTTGTGCTGTCTGTTTGTCAGTTGCCAACTTAAATTTTGCCCATAACTATGGCATCGTAAGAGGTATGGCATTTATATTTTACATGTTGAATCCTTGTGACAAGACCTGTACCGGGTGTACCCTTTTTTGACCAAATGAATTTTGCCGTGACCTTTGACCTACGTTGAATTTTTTTTAAACATTGGCCATAACTATTGACCAGGTGACCTTGACGGGGGAAATTTACTACAATTCAATCATGCATGCAGGAACACTTTGATCAGGTCAGGATTTAATGTCAATCAAATAGTAATTTTTACAAACAGGTTACGGAAATTGATGTGGAAGTTGAAAATTGTAAATATATCGACAAAGAAAAAAATTTAAAAAAAGGAGAAAATATCAACATGAAAACATAATCATACTCCAATTCAATAAAACTAGGACAAAATATAAACAAACGAGGCGTTCCGGAAGTGTGCGGTCAACTAGCGTCAAACACGTCCAGCTTAACATCGTATAAAGAAAAAAAAAGAGAAATGTTTCACAATGAGATCACTATTTAGACCGCAAACCTTCCCAATAACTTCCATCAACCTGCATCTTTTGAAACTGTAAGTAACCGTGATAATGGGAACAGGCCCTTTAATATCGAATCAACTGCGACATTTGAACACCACATGTTTGGGACGGAGGGCGATTACTCCCCAGAAATGGAAAATTCTCAATAGCGAAATTGACACAATCACATTTATTATACAGCTTGGTGGGAAGCAGTTAAAATTGGATTCCATGTAGGAAAAGATAAACGACTGATGAAGATGAGTCTGTCATTTGCTTGATTTCTATTTTGTTAGGTAAATACGACAGAAGTTGTCAATAAATTCCTTGCTATTTAAAGACATCATTGATATATGCCTGACTATGAAATCAAACGGCTTTGCAGGGCCGTTGGGACCTGATATGATACATGTAACTCTTCGATAAATTAAGCCTTGTAATTTAGTTTTCAACGGAATCGAATAAATTGACAACGGAGATAAGGAATGATTAATTTTGCAATTTGTCAGGAAAATTCCAAACTCAAAAAACAAAAAAACTAAGACAAAATATAAACAAAAGAAATATTTACACGGTCATGTACACCTTGGTCAATCCAAGTAAGTAATGTCACGTTCTCAAATAAGAACAAGGTGTAACTAATAAGGATCAAATACGTCCAGCTTCATATCGCACAAAGAAAAAGCGTCTTCTTCGATGAGACGTAAAATTTCCTCATAATTTTCATGTCATGTACACCTTGGTCAATCCAAGTAAGTAATGTCACGTTCTCAAATAAGAACAAGGTGTAACTAATAAGGATCAAATACGTCCAGCTTCATATCGCACAAAGAAAAAGAATATTTCTCGATGAGACAGTAAAATTTCCTCATAATTTTCATCAACCTGCATCTTTTGAACCTTGTGTTTGTCAGTCAGTTGTCGACTTTTTGCACGAAAATCGTGATAATGGGAAAAGTTCCTGAATATAGAATGAGCTGTGGCATGTAAATACAAAAGATTGAAGATGCACGAATATTGGTATCCACAAATGGAAAATTCACAATAGGGAAATTGAAATCATCACGTTTATCATACAGCTTGATAGACTATTCGTACGTATCATAAAACTGTAGACAAAAGTAATGATCCAGTCATGTCTGGGGGCACAACATTTGACAGCTGACTTCGACAAAATTTAACAACTATTTTGAATAAGTAAAATTACACTATTTGGCGAACCGTTTATACTATTATCCTCGTAAAACCCATTCTACCATAAACAGTTTTTGAGTTTGACACAATTTAATCGTTATATCTGTTCAGTAACTAACTACAAGACATCCGTGGCATTCAGGAAAACATTTGACACGGTCTGGACACCTACATAACAGTAATGTTATTTTTACTATTATAAAAAAATGAATATGATAACAATACTTGCAATCATAACATTTCCTTAATTAGTTCATCCATGTTTATATTGTCTATCATTCTGAATGAAACTGGGAAGTCTTTTCGTAAAAAAATACAGTTGTGGGATGGCACAAAGTTACACGGTATGCGCACGATGTATGCACGACAGGGACGATTGAACGGACTATGCTATCGCACATTTGTGCGCACGTTATGCGATTCTATCGTGGTTGATATGTATTACGAAATGACGTATAATTAAGTATGGGATAGGGTTTATATATTCTTTTAGAAGTATAAGACTACAAATATATAAATATCTTAATTAAACCATAGATATATAGGTTAGACACTTATAGATATATATAAGACACGATAGATAGTTATATACACTCGTAATTTTAAGTGTTTTGTTTATAAAGACGTATTTTTAATTCACGACAATAAATCATTTAAAATCTCAGAAAGGAAGTGTTATTTTCATTACTT